CTGACCATCAGCTCACCAGGCTCCTTCCTGTCCCCAGAGCAAGATCCTCCCAAGGCCAAGTTTCAAGCCAAGGATGGGGAGTGCTGGTGGTGGTGTCCAAGGCCAGCTTTTTGCAAAAAGACCTCTGGTTAAAGCTTTAAGGGGATTAGCTTTGGCCAAAAACGGACAACCCCCAGCCCCCCCGCTTTTTTTTTTTTTTTACTCAAGAGTTGCAAACTTCAGAATGAACCAGAAAGGAAAACTTTTCAACGCTACCACTGAAGATGCTCCCTAAGCCCGGCAATGAAAGGTCTGAAAGAAAAGCAACCAAGGGACCCGACAGAAACTTTTTCAGACTGAACCCTCCGACATCCGCTGACCCCTTTCTTTCCGAAACGACCCCCCCCCCAAAGCAACTGCCCCTAAACTCCCTCCGTTTCTCCCCCCTCCCCAATCTGATCAGATTAAAAAATAAATAAATACCTGACTGCAATAATGCCTCGACCTCTTTCTTCCCTCGGAATTTCAGGGTTGGGGATGCCCAGGAAACGTGGACAACCAGGAAGCCCCCCACCCAGCCCGCTCCAGAGACTGGGACTACAACTCCCGGACGCCCAGCCCGCTGGGCACTGTAGTCCAACGCATCTGGGGGAAGCACGAGGTGGGGAGGAAGGCTGCCAAAACCCCCTTGGGATGGGCGCGAAGCCCCTCCCCTCACACCCGCGCTGGGGTCTACAAATTACACCCCCCCGCGCGCCTCATTAATTAAGAGAAGGCTAATTAAATGGCTAAAGGCTCCCCTTTCAGCCCCCCCCCCCCCCACACCTCACCTGGCAGGACGCGCGGGGCTCGCGCCCCACTCCACCCCTCAGAACCTCAGCGGCTTTGCCCCGCCTCCCGCTCTCACCCAATCACGAGGGAAGCGGCGGGCACTTCCGCCTCCTCTCCCACGCCGGCTGTGCTTTGCCTCATCTTTACTCAAGGTTCTTACGCGCCGGTCCTCGGGTTTTTTTTTTCTTCTTTCGGAGCATGCGCAGTACGCTTCGGAATTCTATCCCACCGTCTCCCGCGGCTGCTTCGTACGACAGCCTGAAGTGGAGTGTGAATCCAATCTCTCTCCCTCTTCATTCCCCACTCTATCCCCGCTATTTCAAAATCCGGAGGCAAAAATCCGGACCCGTACTAGGTGGCGTTAAACAGTTTTGTAGGCTTTGGGGGGTGGTGGGGTACCGTTTCGTGGGCGTCCGGATTTTTGCAGCCAGGATAGGGTTATCTTAAGAGGCCAGGGTAAATGGAACCGCCATCTATTTCAGATTGCCGTATGACTGCTGACTTATGCGGGGCAGTTTTCTCCAACCTGACCGTCCACGGAGATAGATATTGGAGTGGCAGTTGAGTCCAGTTAAGGGTTTACGTAAGGGTGGCGTGGTTGATTTTCTCTCTTTTGAAAAAAAAACTTTTATTTAAAAGAAGATTTTACAGATTTTTTTTAAAAAAACTATAGAAACATACCGGTAAAAGAAAAAGCAGGAAAAGAAATAAAATGTAAAAAGATGGAAGGAAAAGTGAAAGGAAAGAAAAAGGAAAGAAAAAAATCAACACACCTAAAGAAGTGATTTCCAATCTTTGTGGCAATTACAAACATAGCAATTGCCATCTCTGTCTTCCAATATTATAATCACGATTCTCTTCTTCGCATAGGCAAACATTTTAATCAATAAATCCCAGAATCACCAGTTCGGTTTTGTCCATTTTCAGCAAATTGTCCACAAAAGGGCTTTCAGTCTTTTGTACAAGTAATTATACTTGCGTAATCAAACAAACCAATTTAGCCATTTCTGCAATTTGACATCTGTAAGGCAGTTTCCAGCAATGAGTTGGACTTCAACTCCCAGAATTCCACAGTCGGACCAACGTGCCCAGATTGAGAAACATTGCTCAGTTAGTCTAATGCGCAGCTATTCCTTAGCTCTATAAACGTACTTCTCTTTTCCCATGAAATACGGTATTAAATTTAGGCTAAGAGAAGAAGCCAGGATTTCTTAGGGAATTTTCTCTCTCCCATAGACTAAAAACAGCAGCAAAGATCAAATCAGCTTATTTCTTGAATGGGTCTGGGATTGTAGACTCCAGACAATAGGACAAAAGTGATCCTAAACTTCCCCTTTGTTTTTGGACACCAAGGCTAAAACTGATAACGCCTATCTTTAGACAGGAAAATTAGCAAATATCAACAATCTAAACAAAACTGGGGAGGGGGGAGATCTCAAGATATTAGAAGTTAATTTCATTAAGAGATTTCTTCACACATACCGCTCTGAGGTTACAAAAGATAAAGATTGCAAAATCCCTACAGAGCCAAACTGCATCTCCTCCCTACCAGACCAAGTATGCTTTCTAGTAATCTCTAGGGAGGCTAATTTTCCATGTTTTCTAGCAATAACAAAGACTTCTCTATAAAACCAATCACTTCTAATCTGTGATATGTGGCCACCTTCAATTCCTAGATTAGGCTACATTGTTTACTGAGTTGGCAATTCCTTGATTGGGTTATTGCTCATGGCTTATCTGGGTTTCAATTGCTGGCTAGGAGGTATTGTGATCTTTTAGCTTTTGGGTTGTCTTTTTTTTGAATGTCTATGAAGATTCTCAGTCATCCAGGTCATGGCTGTCCCAAAGGTGCTTTTTCAAGAGGACTTTCTGGTTTTTCTTTGAAGAAGTTTCTCTTTTGAACGGTGTAGATACAACATAATAGGGCTGGAATGGATCTCAAAGGTCAAGGTAGATCTTATGATACCCTAGTCAAATGGTTGTCCAGTCTCTTTTTGAAAACCTCCATTCCATTGTTTTCACAGACAGAAAATTTCTCCTTACTTCTAACTTAGATCTCTCTTTAACAAGCACCCACCCATTACTTCCTGTCCTGCTCTCTGGTTGTTTGGAGAGTAAGTCAGTCCACTCTCCGTGACATCCCCTTAAATCAGGGGTCTTCAAACTTGACAGCTTTCAGACTTGTGGACTTCAACTCCCAGAATTCCTCCTCCAGTCATGTTCGCTCAGGAATTCTGGGAGTTTTAGTCCACAAGTCTTAAACTTGCCAAGTTTGAAGACCCTTGCCTTAAATACTGGAAGACAGCTATCATGTCCCTCCCCAATGCCTCTTCAACAAGCTACAGAAACATCCACCTCTCTCAACCTTTCATAATAGGATTTGACCTACAGATCCTTTAACATCTTTATTGTTCTTCTCTATACTTTCTAGGTACAGCATCTTTTTTTTCTGTTGACCAGAACCATACACAGAATTCCATCTGTGGCCTCAGCCACAAGTGTGGTATAAAGCAGTATTATCATTTCTCATTATTTGTATGTATGTATGATTTTGTATATGTTTAGTTTTATGATGGCTGATTTGACCAAGCACCAGGCTTTCAGGAACTCTCCAGCATTTTTGGATTTAGCTTCATCCAAAAGTGGGATTTCTCCTCATTCAAGAACATTCTGTCCTGGTTGGATTTTTCACATGGGGAACAGCTATCTTTAGGCAAGGAGGACGATGGACTTCTGTTATGCATTTGTGACAAGTAACTCTGCTACATAATGTACAGATAGTCATAGACTCAAGACCACAATTGAGCCCAAAACTTAGCTTGTTAAGTGAAACATTTGTTAAGTGAGTTTTGCCATTTTTCCTTTCTTGCCATATTTGTAAAGTGAAACTCTGCAGTTGATAAGTTAGTAACCTGGCTTGTTAAGTGAATCTGGCTTCCCCATTGACTTTGTTTGTCAAAGGATTGTGAAAAGTGATTACATGACCTTTGAACACAATGGTCTAAGTATGAACCAGTTGCCAAGCATCTGAATTTTGATCACATGATTATGGGGATACTTCAAGGATTGTAACTGTGAAAAACGTTCAAAATCCCTTTTTTCAGTAGTTATAACTTTGAATGGTCACTAAATGAACTGTTATAAGTCAAGGACTACCTGTATAGCCTTATTTCAGCCATGGTACGACTGATCCAAATCCAAATATATACAGTATGTTGAAACCTAAAAATATTTAACTGCAAGTCTACTTTATAGAAATTGGGCAGATAGGGGACTTTTGATTGAATAAAATCTCATTAACCATTGAACAAGAGAATTAACTCTCCACAGCTACTATATGGTAATTGTTAGATGTTCCTTTCATTAAAATGAAGGATATTTTGGGGCCACAATATTCAGAACTGCTAAAATAGCTCAGCATAAACAGGTTGTTAAAAATGGTTCACTCAGTAACTAATATTAATGTCCTAATGCGTTACATAGCGATGTTTCATTCTTAAAAACTTTAAATTGCTTTAACAATAGGCTTGGAAATTAAAACATTGGATAAGAATACGTCTTTCCTGGGGCATGCATCCCGTTTAACTAAGAGGAACCTGCTTCTGAACAGGTGTGTTGTATTGTACTGTATTGTGCTGCTGCTAATATTTTAGGCTAATTGGTTCTCTTGTCTCAGGATTGATTTATACTGAATATGGGATATTTATAATAAAATTAATGGAAAAATGATATTGTGGATACAAAACAATAATGAAAGAAATATACTTCTGTGTTTAAATCGAGGAGACAGAGTAATGAATCACGAAGTAAAAATGATATGATTTTTGGAACAGTATTTAAAATTCATTAGCTATATTATTTATTTGTTCATTCTCTTTTTATTTCCCTCATTTATCCAAAGATGGGATTTCAAATACTATCATTATACTGAAATACTTGCAAATCGAAAGAACTCTTAATGGCTAGATTTAAGGGAATATATGTAATTGGCTTTGTGTGTGAGAATGACATTCAAAGTCCAATGCTTCTATAAATAAAAGCAAATACTAGGAAATCTGTGAGGTAGAAAGTTCATCACACGCATGAAGTAAGCTCAGATGACAAACTCATGTCAAGGGTGAGGGCACATATCTAAATAAGTTCTGTTTTGATTTTTAAGAAGAACATGAACACAAATAATACACATTTGTCTGGATGGCTATGTTTATTTCTGTCATAGAATTTAATGCTATGCTTCCAGACAACTGTACATGTTATCTATTATGCATTAAAAGTTTGATGAAATACAGCATCCTGAGGCTCAGCTGCTTTTTATGCTGATGGAAACTCTGAAATGCTATTATTCTAGGACAGGAGAGAACATTCACACAACCACAATCAAGCAGTTTCATGTATCTGAAGATGACTCAAAAGGTCTCTTTCATTACCAAACCTCATCAAACAATCGGTGCACTTGTGAGGCAGTTCGGCCGAATGCCTGAAGTCCAAGTGACTTCTGAGGTCTCCAATCTGTCCTGTCGAATATTCGCAATATTGACACAAATAAATGCCTTCTGTCAGGTGACTGTTTAAGTGTTTGCAATATTCCAACATGCCTGAGAAGCCTTTCCCACAGTCATCGCAAACATGAGGGAATATTTTGGTGTGCTCTATTGCCACATGGCGATTGACATTGGTGTGAAGCCTGCTGCGGAAGCCGCACACTTGACACACAAAGAAGTTCTTGCACTTGTCAAAGCTGATTTTGTTGACCAGGCTGTAATGGCCCTGGGGCTGCCTGCTGTTATAGCTGTCGCTCAGCTCTATCAGCCGGCCCGCATGCTCATTCACCACATGGCTGTGCAAGTCCTCGGGGTCGCTCGTCTCGTGCTCACAGAACTGGCACAGGTAGAGCTCATCACAGCTGTGTTCCTGGAAATGGAGGTATAACTCACTACTGGAAGAGAACTGAACATCACATTGCTCACACCAGTAAAGATGGTCGCTGAAATGCGTGTCTGCTATATGCTGGCTCAGGTTTTCAAACATCACGGTTTTGTAGTCACAATATTTGCAAACATAGGGGTCCTCCTCGTGGATTTTCAAGTGTTCAATGAGCACCTTTTTGGAAGAGAAATTCTCTTTGCACACGCGACAGATGTTGCCCTCAGGGCAGGTTTTATGCTTTAGAACCATGTGCTGCTTCAGGTCAGAGAAATATTTGCTGTTAAACGTGCAGCGTTCGCATTTGTACAAACCGCTGCTGTTTGCCCGAAGCAGGGGCCATTTGGGCGGAATGGCGACGTTCGAAGAAGGATTTTTGTCAAGCTCCTTGCAGCTTTCAACCGGGATTTCCTCTGCCTCCTCTGCTTCAAGCTTCTCAGGGGAAACGGTCTGAGTTTCAATGTCGTGGACTTCTACAGCCTGGACTTCAGTAGTGGAGATCTCTACAGTTTGAATGTCCAAAGGTTTCTCCTCATCTGTTACACTGTCACTGAAGACGGGGGACTCGCACGAATCTTTAAAAATTCCATTGTTTTTATCTGCAAAAGGAGCCAAGACCAAACTTACAAAGAATGGACTCTATTATATTTTAATTTACTGAGTAATTTTTTTTTACCAAAACAACCACCACTACCAGGAGACAGATTTTAATTCTCTTCTTCAGAAAATGAAGAAAAAGTGCCCAATCCCACTAACAATAAGTGTCAGCTTTGGAAGCCATATTAGCACCAGAAGCTTCCACACTGCCACATTCTTGTGTTTGGGAAATTGGGAAGGGGATTTTGTAGAGTGTTTGTACTAAGACATAATAGCATTCTTCTTTATAGTCAAGGTCATGTTATTCCTGCACCTGATGAGGAGGGGCTTAAGGGATGTGTCAAGTTGGAATGGATGGTGATTGGGCAATGTGATCGGGTGCAGGGGATGGATTTTGTGATTTTAATTACTGGAGAAAAACCCGGAACTCTCAGATTCGGGTTTGCCCAGATGTGCCAGTATGACAACTCTAATAAAATGGATCTTTGAGAAAATGCCTGTCTCCGAGTTTTGGTGTTGGAGTGTGTTTTCCTGGAACGCTGACAATAAGTAGTAAAAGGTACTGAATTCTATGTTAGAAAATAAAAGCCAACTTGCAATATCATTACTTTTGTTGGATCACTACCACTGCAATTCTTTGCATACCGTATTTTTCCAAAAATAAGACTGGGTTTTATATTAATTTTTGCTCCAAAAGATGAATTAGGGCTTATTTTCAGGGAAATACAGTGTAAATGCATCCGTCTGGCTGACGATCTTAACTGGGGCTTATTTTGGGGTACAGCTTATATTACGAGCATCCTGAAAAATCATGCTAGAGCTTTTTTTCCGCTTAGGTCTTATTTTGGGGGAAATACGGGACTTATTTTGTCAGTTCTGCTGAACTCCTCTGAACTACACCTGCATAAATCTTAAAGAGCTGTATATTTTTATTCCACTCTTTCATTAAGAAGCTGAAGATAGCTTTCTTATATTCTAAATATTCTTATATACAACTCCCACATGCTTTGGGAACATGAGCAGAGCAAAGGATTTTGATTTATAGTCCCAAACATCTCGAGGGCATGAGATTAGGACCTTTGTTCTAATGATTACAATGGATAGGCTCTTAGGCTACAAAACTTTTAATGTTCAGAAAGGAGCTTTATTTTTTACCCTTTCTCATTTTGGCATTTTTAGGAATAGGGAGAGTAAACAGAAAGTGACACAATCATCTTTCCCTTACCTTTTTTCTTAGGGTCCATTAAATGTGTCCCCGGAACATTAGACTGGTTCCCACTCCTCTGAGATGTTCCAGCATACACGTGGCTGCCATCCTCATCAGTATCTATACTAGGCGCTGTGTTATGAAATCTGCCTGAGAAGAAAAAATATCATTCTGTTTAATTTTAAACAATTTATAGAAACACCCACTCAGCACATGACTGAGGGCATTCTGGTATTAGCCTCTAAATTCAGTTCATAAGTTTTCAGTAGCTCTACAAACATGCAATTCAGAGCTTGTTTCATACCTTGTTACAAGACTCATAAAAATTAATATGGCTTCCTCAAACTTGAGTACACTGTAGTAAAAAAAATTTAAAGCTAAAATTATTTATCTGTACAGACAGAATAACTACAGGCACTGAGAAAGTCTACTAAGTTATGCCTGCTTCTCATAAACGTGTATGTTTTGTTTAAAATATTCCTTGTCCATATTTATTATGTCATTCATGGTATGTGATGATATAACATGACTAAATGTTTTAAAATATTACTGTTCCCTTAAATATTTAAATTTCCAATGCATATTTTAACATACCAATCTGAACTGATTATCTGAAATCATATAGAGGCAGAAGTTCTTTAAAAAATAATAGTAATCCTGTCAAGAGTTTCTGAACTCATCTTTATCAGTAATAGGTAGTTGCTTATAAACTGGATTTCCAGCTGTTGCCTTGTGCAATCATGACACATCATGACAGCACAAATAGCCTGAACTAACTCCCAGTTCCAAGTTTTAATTTCATTATATATAGCTCTCATTCATCAAGCAAACATATTTCCATAAATCACTCTACATTTCATGCCTTTTTATTATAAATTTTAAACATAACTGCAGTACATTTTTCTTTTTCACTTGAATATATAAAAATCTCTTCTGCACACATCCTATTCAACATAAAGCCACAATACACCACCCACAATTCTGCAAATTGACATCTCTTATAATTTTTTGATAAAAAATTTGGGTGAACATTCCTAAGCATATAACAAACTAATATCCTTGTAGATTTTGCATTTAATTTTTATCTTTTCCTTTGTACAAAATAATTGTCAAGCACAAATGCACACAAATATTAAATGAACAGCACAGACACATCAAAAACTATTTTTTTCCATGTATCTTTTAAATTTATCTCATCTATCATTTTAAGAAAGGATTTAGGGAGAGTCTTTCTGTTTTGCTTTATTGTTTTCTGTGCTGTATAATCCAATTTATTTTCTACAATTCCATTAAAGTCTCCCATCATAACTATATTAGCATAGTCCAATTCAATTATTTTCATATGTAATTTTCTATGAAATTCTTCTTGATTGTATTTCCCAAAAACTGGAAAAAAGAGAAAATACCATTACAGGAGGAAATCATTAAGAAAATATTGGAATGTGCTGAAATGAGTAGATTGACATTTGAAATCAGAGAACAAGATGATAAACAATTTTATAAAATTTGGGATCTATTCTATCAATGGTTAGACAATAAAACATGGTAATGAAATATGTAGATTCTTAGAAAATAATAAATATATAAAGATGTATTCTTTTCTTATTATATCTACAAAATGATTGTAGGATAGATTTGAGATGATAATATGAACTATCATAAAACAAATTAAGTAAAATATGGATTTCATAAAACATGAATGAATAAAAGTATAGTCAAATGATTAACAATGATATTAATGTACTTAATATTTGATTGAAAATATGAGAATATATACAATGTAATTGTAATTGAAGACTATGAAATGGAAGCACAAAACAATTTGTAAACCAACCGACACACTGTATGTATATATATGAAAGATGGCTTGATGTTTTTATGTTTTGTCTATGTTTGTCTTAAAAACCAATAAAAATTTATAAAAAACAAACAAACATTTTTTTCATCCAGTTACACCATCTACTTCTGCAGTTTTACATTTTTAAATATTCTCACAATATTTATGGTTATCTTTTTATAATTTTTTTTGGTTGGTTCCCTGTACATAGTCCACAAAATAGGATATTGTGTAGAATACCATTAAAATCTTTCAGAATATGTACAAGGAGAAAAACAATTTGCTGAAAACACACCTGCGAATGAATTTGCAAAATGCAAATCTTTACCTCTATTATCAGGAATTTTTGTGTCTAGTTGTTTCATGGAACAGACACTGTAACAATGGTCAGAAAATATGCCACTATTATCTATGTATTTTGGAATTCCTGAAGAATCTAAGACAGAAAAAAAGACAAAAGAATGAACTTAAATATCTGAAGGAAAATACTTCTTGACATCCATATCAATTTTCTTGTGGCTAACTTATTTGATGTTATAGAGAATATAGTCCAATCCTTAATAGGTTTCTTTAAAAACAAGTGAGATTTATTCCCAGTTAAGTGTTACAGAACTGCAGACCAAGAAAAGAATATATAAATGCACAAAAATTAGACGGTGGTCTATAATTCTAATAAACCTCAACTAACATAAAACTAGTAGGTGGCCTATTACAGATACGAGACATTCTTTGTCTTCTCTTGATCCCTTCTACCAAGTACGATTATATTTCTGGAAGAAAAAGATAAGTAATAACAATACTTAGTATTGAAGCTGAATACAAAACAAAAATGGGATTTGTGCTCCTGTAAATAAAATTGTCTTTGAATCTACAATTCTATTTCTCATGCAGATCTAACTCTGAACTCTCTGTGTTTTACTTTTTCCTTCCAGTTCTAAAATTCAACTTTTCTGATAGTAGATGATGTAGCTTATCAGAACAAAAACTTGAAAGCCTGAAAGGTTCTCTTTTCCTCTCCTTATACTCAAGATAATCAAGATGGGCCAATCTCGATTTTCTTTCTCACCTCCTCCTCCTGCCTTTCCTGACTGCAAAAATTCTTCAGTGCTATCTGCCTGCTTCTCCCCAGAGCATATAAAGACACCTTCCTGGGTTTTTTTTTGTGCCTCTCTTTAACTAATTAGTTAAACTAATTAGTTAAAGAGAGTCCTATCAGTCCTACCCACAAGTCTCAGATTCCTTACATTTTCCTCTTCTTTTCCAGGTTCTCATCCCAACTTCAGTCTCTTGGTTTCCCCTCCTGTGTCAGAAAATCACTACTATTTCTTTATCCATTCTTCTGCTACAGTCTCTAAATCCGATGACCCTTTATTACACAGTGGCTTGTCCTTTGATTCATTTTCTTTTGGGGGCTAATCTATGGCTGCTTTCGTCTTCATTTAAGCAAAGAAAGGTAACTGTTCTCTGAGGTCATTCCAAAGTACTCACAGGTAATTGCTTTAAAAAAATAAGACAGGACCCAGAGGGCATAGCTACTCTATCCATAAAGAATTCTGTCAGGACTGAAAAGCTGTTTGCCAGAGTATGTTTTGAATTTTTTTTAATGATGGGAGAATTGGTGTTGTGTGGAAATATGTTAAGACTATATGTGGTTGTGTGCTTTGTTTTTCCTTTTTCCAAATCTCAGTGTATAATAGGGAACATAAACCATAGGGATAGCAACTTACAAACAATGTGTATAGGAATTGGATTAAATTTAGGGACTGAGCTAGATGATCTCCAAGATACTTTCAACCTTTACATTCTAGGATACAGACATCAACATCTCTACTGCAACCAGTTACTTTGTCCTGTACTTATACAATGTAACAATGAATTATAGACAGTCTACACAGAATTTTAAGAATTCGGTTTTTAGTTAACCAACCTCTTCTCAAAAATCTAGCTTCTGGAAAGTTTAACAGACACATTTGGAAGAAAATGCAATTTACAGTAACTGAAATTGGGTAAATGTAGCTACATTTGATTTACCTGAGTAGCGTGAAGGATGCAGAGTCTTCCTTTTCCTTTTCTTTGGATGCTCATTCATTTTGCTTTGGTCTGAAATAACTGCAGGAAGCAAAATCAAACATTTCAGTTAATTCACTACTGGTCAATGTGCAGTTATAAAGAGTAAAGAGAAACTTAGATGGTATCCTCAAAGGACAAACCCAAACTCCACTCCATTAACCAAAACAATCAGTCTATCTGCCAAAACATTCACAAGATGACCGATCCCTGGATGTTTTTTTTAAGAGAATGTCTAATAAATCTAGGCTGCCAATTATTGAGCAGCAGCAGCGGCAACAGTAACAAAAATTACCTAGAACTGAGCTCGGTTTTCTTGGCAATGACATGGAGTAACTTGCCACGGCTTCCTTTTGGATGAATTTCAGAAATTTCCCAATCTAGCTCCGGAAAGCCCTGGAAGTCTTGTATTTAATTACAGGTAATCCTTGAGTTACGACAGTTCACCTAGTGACCGTTCAAAGTTACGTGTTAACCCCTCAAGTATTTACAACATAGTCCTGAAATTACGAATGTTGCAGCACGGCAGTCATTCACCCTTACGAACAACTGCAGAGGCACTGCAACATTTACTCTGTCTACCTCCCCAACATTCTGCCATGCCAGACTCACCATGCAAAGATCTGTCTCCTCTCTCGAGGTTTTTTTGAGAAATTACACTGCCTGAAAGTGTCCCATTAGCTTGCAGACATTTTGAGTGGAAACTGGAAGCTTCTGGGCACCATGATCTCACAGGACTCCAGGCTGCGAGATCACGGCCCCCAGAAGCTTCCAGTCTCCAAATGTTTGCAAGCCGCTGGGACGCTTTGAGGCAGCGCAATTCCACTCCCTCAAAATGTCCCGCTGGCTTGCAAATGATTTGCACGGAGACTGGAAGCTTCTGGGGCGCCGTGATCTTGTGCGACAAGAGAGGCTGGAGAGACGGCAGCTTGCCAGATCTTCACAAGGAAAGTGACCCAGTGTGGCAGGATGGGGTGGGGGGAAGCAAATGCATGAGGCATCTCAGTAGATCGGGGGAGGCCTGGGGGTGACCTGAACCAGGTGGCCTATTCCATCACTAGGCCCCTCCCATGGCCTTCCCCACACCGAGATACCTCACGCGCACTTAACGATTAGTGAACGCGTGGGCAAAAGCAGGGAGGCTTCATATTCATTTTCCATGATTCACTCCAATGAATCCTCTGCTAATGAATGTAATTAGCAGGCTTCATTACCTTCATAACTCGAGGACTGTACCAAGTACACCTTACCTTGCTTGGTTTCTGAGCTGAGACAGAATAGCCTAGTCCTAAGTTGGGCTGCTGAATTGGGGCATCCACAAGGGGTGTGTGTGTGTATGCATGTACGTACGTATACGTATATCCTCTGTGGCCAAGTGACCACAGTTCAGTTGCTTGGCAATCAAGCTGCATTTATGACTGTTTTCAACAACCTGCAGTAATATGAATGCGCTTTACAATAGTTTGGATTGCAGCATTTAACGACAGTGGATCAATGGTGGTTCACTCAATAACAGCCACAAAAAGGGTTATAGAGTTGAGTTGGTCATGCGACAGACCCATTTTAATGGGCAGGCTCCATTACGATCATAACTCGAGGGCTACCAGTAAAGAGCTAAGGGGGCTTTGATCACATGGTTGTGGCCACATTTTTCTGGCAACCCCTCGTTGCCAAAATAGATACTCAAACACATATTTAAATTTTAACATGCCAATTTAGATACAAGAATGTTCTCTGTACTTTGCTTCCTTGTCTGTCACAGCAGCCACTGTATAATTATTTTACTGATGAAAGATATTATCACTTAAGATTGGCCGTATTATTTAATCAATGATTATACAGGGTTTTTTTTAGGATATGAATTGTGTGTTATTAAATCTAGGTGCTCAATTGAGGCATTAGAAATATCATTCAATAATTTCTCAAATAAAAGAAGTTCACAAATGCATTTCAATTTAATGTTACCACACAGCCACAGGTACCTCGGGTCAGAAATGTTCTTGCTAATTAAAATATCAGTTAAAGATTTCATAACAAAATAGCCTTTCTTTCTCTTTAGCTAAGGTAAGTCCAAAAGTATGATGAAAAAGATATGACAGTATTTGCTCAGGATGATTCTTCTCTGTCAGTTTCAATGCATAATTCATAAGTGCAGTTCTGATATGGCCGAAACCAGCTAGACAGTTTTCAATTCTCACCGGGCAATTTATTTTAATATTGCGTATTACTTGTAAAATAAATTGTTCTTGATTCGATATCAGTTTTAAACAAAGGCTGCCCGCTTCCAGTGCAAATCTGGTAAATTCAGTAAACCTGCTGAGAATGTTCAGACATTCAAAGTCATTTCTGTAGGACTCTGATACCTGGAGATCTCTAAACAAAATGACAGATAACCTGTTTAAATGTGGCCTGAGGCTGCATATGTGGCTTAGAAAACTACAGCCTAAAGCATGCATCTGGAAAAAAGCAGGATCAGAAACAAATGATCCATTATTCTCAGGTAAGCTAGTGAAAGGCACTACTTAAGAGTGAAAAAGGATTATGAAGTTATTTCTCTGTATTTTTTTTTTTAAAAAAAAACATGTAGTGCCCCTCTATCCATACTTCAAAATGATAAATGAAAGAGAACACTGAATTATGCTAAAAAATTTCCCAAAATGAATAGAAGTACACTTGTGATGATATTTTATCTACAAGTGGAATTTAAAACGCAGCAGGAACAGTAGATCTCTGTCTTGGTTCTTTATTGTGGAAGAAAGTCCTTTTTCTTTTTTTTTCTTTTCTTTTTTTAAATATATTTTTATTAATTTTCTTTTTTCTTTTACATTGTAAAACATCATGGTATCAACAACGTTCTTGGCATCTATACAAGATTTTGATTTAAATATCATAATACATTATATTGCATTTATCTACTATTAAATAATACCTTTAGCAATAATTACTATTCTTATATCTTCATATAGTGTACAAAATTTTATTTTACTTTCTTAAGGGTTGTTTCAATTAACATTTTTGTCTCACTTCTTGGTTCTGTTTGTTAGCCATTTATACCAATTGTTCCAAATTGTAAAGAATTCAGAGTCGTCTTTTTCTTTCAATTTCATTGTTAGCATATTCATCTCAGCACTTTCTGTTACTTTGTGTATTATTAGTTCTTCATTGGGGGTATTTGGTGTTTTCCATACCTGCGCAAAGGCTATTCTGGCGGCTGTTATAATATGTAACACTAGGTATTTTACTTCTTTTGGTACTCTTTCTTTAATGATTCCTAATAGGAAGGATTCCGATCTGAGCTCAATCTGATAGTCAGTGATCTCTTTTAACCAATTTTTAATTTGAATCCAGTATGTCCTGGCCTCAGGGCACATCCACATGTGATAAAATGTACCATCAACTTTTTTGCACTTCCAACATTTAGGACTCATATTGGAGTAGATTTTTGCCAATCTTGTTGGGGCTAAATACCATCTATAAAACTTTTTATATATGTTTTCTTTGTATGCTGCAGATACCGTTAATTTATAATTTATATTCCATATTTTTCCCCATTCCTCTAATTCTATAGTGTATCCAAAGTTCTATGCCCATGCAATCATTGTACTTTTGACTATTTCCTTTTCCATTTTAAAATCTAATAAATATTTATATATTTTAGTTATAAGTTTTTGTTCTGGTCCCATTATCTAGTTGGTTCTGCCCTTTGTCAAATCCAAAATGTTTTGAGTCTTTTTTATATTTATCTTGAATTTGCAAATATGGCCACCAATCGATTATAATTCCATTTTCCTTCAGTTCTTGATTTTAATTTCCCTTGACTATCTAATAGTTCTTCATAGCTTACCATTTTCCGTAGGTCTAATCTATTTGGATGTATTATGGCTTCCATAGTTGACAGCCATCGTGGGATTTCTGTATAGTGTTTACCTTTGATTTTTTTTCCAAATTGTAATCAATGAGTCTCTTATTAGGTGTTGATTGAAATAGGTATGTATATTACTTTTATTTTCCCACAAAAATGCATACCAACCTATCAAGAGGTCATGTCCTTTTATGTTAAGATTCTCTTGTCTCTTAATTTAATCCAATCCTTAATCCAACTCAACACCGCTGCCTGGTAATAAAGCTCCCATTCTGGTAGTCCGAGACCGCCTCTGCTCCTATTATCTTGTAATAGTTTCATTTTAATACGTGGCCGCTTGCCCAACCAGACAAACTTGGATGTCATTTTATTTAGTTCTATAAAAAAAATATTTCCCTAATTTAATTGGAATCATTTGGAATAGATATATTAGTTTTGGCAAGGTATTCATTTTCAACGTTGCTATTCTTCCTAATATAGAAAATAGGGAAGAAACTCCTTTTTCAGAGGCTTTAGATTATTGACAAGCTTTGACAGCTGAAATTTGTCATTATCACCAATGCAATTCCCTGTTCTGAGGACTGAACAACAAAGCTTTCATTGTGATGCAAAGTTAAGCTCTGTAGCTTAGGGGCCAGTGGGAATAAAGGGTCAGCCTTTTCTTGAAATTGGAAGGAGTGTATTCATTACAGTTTTTGTTAACTTCTATGGAGGTTTACCAAAATGTAAGCATCTTCTCTAACAGTTATACAAGTTTGGTTTCACTGGTTTCTGAATAACTCTTCAATGTTCAAGAATAATATTGTAGGCAGAATGAAATGACCAGAAAGAAAATTTGTCTGAGCAATTTCCACTAACTATAATGAATCCTTGTAATATGAATTTTTCAGGTTAGATTTTAAGTTAATCTCCAAATCTGTAAAATAAAAATATGAAAGTTGCTAAATAGAATTTCTTTTTAAAAATATTTTTGTTATTTTCAAAAAATTAAAATACAAAATGCAAAAGAAAAAAATTAAAAACAAAACTAGACAAGAACATTAAAATATGAATTAAAAAGAACAAAAAACACAAACACACATATTATCCACTCAAGTTGCACACTGACAAATCTATTAGCTCTCCCTTGCAAAGCAGGTCCAAAATTTATAAATTTCTACATCTCTTTGCAAGCTAAATTGACCTGTCATATATATGAAAAACAATAGCAAAGTTAAAGTTCAAGGCTCTCTGTTAACAGTCTACCATTGCAATTTACTTAAAGTCTACAACAGTTTCTTATCTATCACAAATCACCCCAGTCATTATTGCTAATCTGTCCCAGATCAAAAATCCTTGTTTGGCTCTTAATAATGAAATGCTTCCTTACGTTTTTAATTGGGAACTTTCCCAACAGCAGCATCTCATTTCATAAGTCTCTGTTGTAGGTAAATATCTCTGCAATATCCATGTTTGAAAAATTCTCCTTAAAAACACGTTCCTCTTGCCAAGGAAGTCCAGTCCATTGTTCATCAATTCTATCATCTCAGAATTTCTTGTATTCATATTCCTTCCAATCTCTTCTGGCACATCTATATTTTCACATCTGACAGCAACAGATCAGATTCCAGTTCATCAAGTTGCAAATCAAATCACATTGTAATTTCCTGCTTTGGGATATGGTCTTAACTGTGGTTCACAGCCATTGTTGACCCAGCAAATTTTTTGCTTGTATTCTCA